TCTTTTCTTTTCTTTTCTTCTCTTTCTTTCTTTCTTTCTTTCTTTCTTTTATTCTTTCTTTCTCTTTCTTCCTTCCTTCCTTCCTTCCTTCCTTTCTTTCTTTCTTTCTTTCTTTCTTTCTTTCTTTCTTTCTTTCTTTCTTTCTTTCTTTTTTTCGAGACAGGGTTTCTCTGTGTAGCTTTGGAGCCTATCCTGGCACACGCTCTGGAGACCAGGCTGGCCTTGAACTCACAGAGATCCGCCTGCCTCTGTCTCCTGATTCTGGAACTAAAGGCATGCGCCACCAATGCCCGGCTTCCCAGATTGCTGCTTAGTACAACCCAGGACCACCTGCCCAGAGATAGCACCTCCCAGAGGTGACATTGCCCACAGTTGGCCTGGAGAGTTGTCTTAGCAGTTAAGAGGCTTGCTGTTCTTGTAGAAGAGCTAGGTTCGGTTCTCAGTACCCACATGGTGGCTCACTACTCTTTGTAACTCTGGTTCCAGGGGATCTGGCATCCACTTCTGGCTTGCGCAGGTACCAGGCACAAGTGGTACGCATATGCACATACAGGCAAACCCACATACACATGGCATATATACATGAGGGCAGACATTCATACACATGAAATAAGTCTTTAAAAAATTAATTTTTAGGGTTGGAGAGATGGCTCAGAGGTTAAGAGCACTGGCTGCTCTTCCAGAGGTCCTGAGTTCAATTCCCAGCACCCACATGGTGGATTGCAGCCATCTATAACGGGATCTGATGCCCTCTTCTGGCATGCAGTCTCTATATGTAGATAAAGCATATACATAAAATAAATAAGCCTTAAAAAATTAATTTTTAGGCCAGGCTTTGGTGACACACGCCTTTAGTTCCAGCACTCGGGAGACAGAGGCAGGCGGATCTCTGTGAGTTCAAGGCCAGCCTGGTCTCCAGAGCGAGTGCCAGGATAGGCTCCAAAGCTACACAGAGAAACCCTGTCTCGAAAAACCCAAAAAAAAAAAAAAACAAAAAAAATTAATTTTTAAAAAGGAAAGGCTTGCTTATAGACCAATTTGATGGAGGCGTTTTTCAGTTGATATTTTCTCTTCTAACTTGTATACATTGACACAAAACTAATGAGCACCTAGCACCTGCACATGTGTATGAACATTTGCCTGCCTTCTCTCCCACAGACTGTGTGTGAGCGTGGAGGATGCCTACCTGCACACTGTCACCATTTGGCTCACAGTGCGTCCTGATATGACAGTGGCCTCTCTCAAGGACATGGTGAGTGAGGGGCAGGAGGCAGGTGGGCTCCTCTCTGGCTTGTATTTCCGTTCTGCTCTCTCCATCCTCTCTGTGTCCCTCCCACCCTATATGCTCTGTTGCTGTGGTCAAACACCTGCTAGAAACAACTTGAGGAGAGGTTTGTTTTGGCTTACAGGTCAGAGGACACAGTGCATCATGGGAAGGGGTGGTGCTTGAGAGACTCCATCCAGGGGACAGGAGCTTACAGCTGTGGCCATTTTTTTCTCTTCTGCCCTCCGTTATACTTTTTTTTTAAAGAGCTATTTATTTTACTTTATGTATGAATGTTCGCCTGATGTGTGTATTGTATCATGTGTGTGCCTGTTGGATCCTCTGGAACTGGGGTTATGGATGATTGTGAGCCACCATGTGAGTGCTGTTAATTGAACCAGTTCTCTTAACCACCAGCCAGCCCTCCAGCCCTCCTCTCTCCTTTTGTAAATAGAGGGTTTGACTTTTTAACCTTGGGTGGTCTGGAACTCACTTTGCAGACCAGGCTGGCCTCCGATTTGCAGAGATCCATGTGTCTCTGCCTCCTGAGTTCTGGGATCAAAGGTATGCATCTGCCACCATGCCTGGCCTCAGTTGTGGCTTTTCATATGGCCAGGGAGCAAAGAACTAGGGTGAAAGCAGGGTAGGCTCTAGCCATCAAAGCCAGCCTTCAGTGGCCCACCTCTGTCAGCCAGGACTTCGAGAGTTTCAGGAAACATCACCCCCAACTTGAATCAAGTGTTCAGATGTCAGTGTGACAATAGATGTTGTACTTTCAAACTATAACTGCCCCCTTCCCCAGGTGTTTCTAGATTATGGCTTTCCACCCAGCCTGCAGCAGTGGGTGGTTGGACAGAGGCTGGCACGAGACCAGGAGACCCTGCATTCGCATGGTGTTCGACAGAACGGAGACAGCGCCTACCTCTACCTGCTGTCTGCCTGCAACACCTCACTCAACCCGCAGGAGCTGCAGCGGCAGCGGCAGCTTCGGATGTTGGAAGGTGAAGCTCTGTCAGGGATGTACTGGACGGCCCTGTACATGGATGAGGATGACAGATGGGGAGGGAGCTTTTTGTAGAACTCTTGAGCAGGTCTGGCATGAGGAGAGGGGCTGTTTAGTCCTGGCCTGGCGTTTGCTAGCTATGTGACCTTGAGCATGCTCATTCTGTCTCTGTCCATCAGGGTTCCGTGTTTCTATTTGTTTGTAACTAGGATTTAGTATGGCTTCTTTGTCTGCAGTATTTCAGACCTGTAGAAAGGTTCACAGTTGTACAGAGAAACATCTTCCTCCTTTAGCTTTACCCTGAGTGCAGAATCTTAGGGAATGAGATCTTCCTCCCCTGAATACTTGTGTAGTTTTTTAAAAAAGAAAGGCCATTTTTCTGAACAACTGTCTGTGCAGGAAATGAATTTCTATATAGTGCAATCTTTCTTTTGAGACAGGGTTTCTGTGTTTAGTCCTAGGTGTCCTGAAACTCTGACCCTCCCAAGTGCTGGGACTAAAGGTGTGTGCCACCACTGCCCAGCGTTTTTGATTTTTAAATTACATTTATTGGGCCAGGCATAGTGATACATTCCTTTAATCCCAGCACTTGAGAGGCAGAGAGGCTAGCCTGGTCTACAGAGTAAGTTCCAGGACAGCCAAAACTATATGAGAAATCCTGTCTTAAAAAGACAACCCTCAACAAAGTAATTTAAAAGTTACATTTATTTGTGTGTGTGGCTGGACACATGCTATCTGCACATGTGCACACGTAGAGGAAAGAGGGCACCTTTCGGGAGTCAGTGTCTTTCCACTGTGGGGGCCAAGGTTTTACACTCAGGTCATCAGGCTTGGTGGCAAACACCTTTGCCCACTGAACCCTCTCTCTGGCTTGACACTGACACAGTGCGGCCACTCTCGTTTGGGTTTTGTCAGTCACCCAATCATTGTCCTTGGTGGCAAAAGACATAGCATTCAGCTGCCCTATCTCAGCCCCTCCTAGCCCTGACCCCTTCAGGCCTCTGTTTGCCCTCCTGACTGAAGATGTTCAGGCCTCTTTCTTGGTGAACGTTCTAGCGTGATGGAGTCAGGGTTAGGCAGCTCCTCCTCTCAAAAGGGATGGGGTTCATGAAGGTACAGTTGTGGGTGAGGTAAAGCCATGGCCTTGGGGTATCCTGGATGTCCACCTTCAGGAAGAGGCTAGAAACACTGCAGAGTTGCCAGATGCCTCAAAGTGGGATGTGCTGGGCTGGTTCAGCACGTGAATACCTGGGCAGCCTGGATCCACACACACTCCTTCTGCAGATTTGGGCTTCAAGGACCTTACCCTGCAGCCACGGGGCCCCCTGGAGCCCATCCTTCCCAAGCCCAGGGCCCACCAGGAGCCGGGGCAGCCAGACGCAGCACCAGAGTCGCCACCGGTAAGCACCTTACTTCATGTGCGCGCTGTCTTCTCTGCTAAACCCAGCCGACCTCACACCCCCTCTGCATCTAGGTGGGCTGGCAGTGCCCTGGCTGTACTTTCATCAACAAACCCACACGGCCTGGCTGTGAGATGTGCTGTCGTGCAAGGCCAGAGACCTACCAGATACCTGCCTCATACCAGCCCGATGAGGAAGAGCGAGCACGCCTGGCTGGAGAGGAGCAGGCGCTGCGCCAGTACCAGCAGGTGGGCACACATGTCCAGGGACAGACATCTGCAGGCTGCTTAGAAAGGCTAAGCCACAAAGGGAACCACCTGCACACTGCTGGGCCCCTGGCTACTGTACTGCACTCCTCTCATGAGCACACTGCTAAGCCATAACCTTGCTGTGGATCGAGAGCTGCCTCTCTCTGAGGCCAGTTCTGGGGCTGAGACTCACTTTTGGGTGTGATGCACAGCCAGGCTCCTCACTTGTTCTGCACCTTCACTTTGACACCCCACCTCCCAAGTATACAAGCGTCTCTACGCTAACTATGCTATACCTCAGCCCAAATCTCAGCCCCTGGCCTGGAACCCCATCTTGGCTCCTACTGTACCCCCTCTTCTCCCTTCCTCTCTCATGGACTGCCTTCCTGTGCTCCTTGGGAGTGAGTCTGTCTTCTCATTTCCCTAGAGTAGTCAGTTCCCAACACAAACACTGATACAGCAGACACCCAACTCTGGTGCTCCCACTCAAAAAGCCTGCTTCTATTTCACCTGCGTTCCCCTTAGACTCAGCGCAGCCTGACCAGCCTTGACCGTGACCCCATGCCTAGCCAAGCCTTACCTGCAGCCTGGCTCTGCCTCCAGCTTGACCCCGCCACTCCCTCTTGTACCCTGAACCTTTTCTTTCTCTACTGCCCTGGTCCCCTCACCTAGCTTCTTACTGTGCTGTAGCCCCACCCTGGCTGTCTTGGCCTGCCCATGTTCCCAGCCCCCTACTGCCTTGCTGCCCCCCATACGACCCCAGCCCTGTCCTACTTCCTATCTGAACAACTGAGACCCTGACCCACCTGGTGGCCCTGCCCTGCCCGTGTGCCCAGCGGAAACAGCAGCAGCAGGAGGGGAACTACCTGCAGCACGTGCAGCTGGAGCAGAGGAGCCTGGTGCTGAATACCGAGCCCGCTGAGTGCCCTGTGTGCTACTCAGTGCTGGCGCCCGGCGAGGCCGTGGTGCTGCGTGAGTGTCTGCACACCTTCTGCAGGTGCGGCCCAACTCCCACTAGCAACAGTGCTCACCAAAGCCACAGTGAACTGTGGGCAGCCTTGTTCTTTATCTCATTGGATTCCCACAAAACACCATTTATGCAAGAGGTGTTGTGGCTCATGCCTGGAATACCAGCACTCGGGAGGGAGAGGCAAGAGGATCAGAAGGTCAAGACTAGCTTCGGCTATATAGTGAGTTCAAGGTCAGCCAGGGTTACATGAGACTTTGTCCCAAAAATCCAAAGTAAAAGGAATGGTAAACAGAGAATGGTAAACAAGCATCCATGTTGTGAAGGCTACACAACTTGCAAGAAGCTCAGAAACGAGACGAGCGTTCTGACTCCAGAGCCACTGCCCTTCCTCACTGCCTGTCACTGCCTGGGCATATGTAAAGACATTAGGGCCAAGCTCTGACAGCCCACAGCACTCTGCCCTGTAGTGTGTGCATTTTCTCTTGGGTCTCCTGTGCAGCCTTTCTACCCTTTAGCTGGGAAAAGTATGTTCATTCACATAGGGGGCCCTGGTGGAGTGCTGCCTTCTAGCTTATGTTCTAGTGGGGAGTCTTTGTTAATGTATAAAATGCCACATGCTAAATAACGAGGTTGTGAGCCTTGCTCAGGTTGTTAGGGGCAGGGCTGGCAGCCCCTAAGGAAGTTGTGCTGGAGCAGAGGCTGGAAAGCTGTCTGCAAAGATCAGGGAGCAGAGGGATGGTGGGTGTGGTGGGACGGGATAGTTGTGCCTGTGCAGGTGACAAAAGCCCTGAGCCACTCTGGGCCTCTTTGGGTGGTACTGCTGCAGTGCTGAAAGTGGGCATTTGCACCAGCTAGAGAGACAGGGATCAAGGAGGTGGTTACTGCAGTCCCCTGGGCAGGGATGCCAGTGCCCTAGACCAGAGAGTGGCCAGGATGATGGGTGGATAGAAGTGGGGCCTTGGTGACAGGCTGAAGAGAGGGATGGGAAGAAAGGGCTCGGTTAGACCCTGCCATCTGAGGGCTGGAGTCCCTGTGGAGGTTGAAATGAACCTAATTACCACCCTCCCCGCCTCCAGGGAGTGCCTGCAGGGCACCATCCGAAACAGCCAGGAGGCAGAGGTATCCTGCCCCTTCATTGACAGCACCTACTCGTGCCCTGGCAAGCTGCTGGAGAGGGAGATCCGAGCGGTAAGGCCATGGGGGGGAAGGAATCTGAGTCAGCAGCATCTGCATCCCCAGGCAGATGCTTCCCAAGAGTGTCCACTCAGAGTGCCTGGGGCCCAGGCAGAGCAGCATCGGAGGGAGGAGATGAACCCGCAGACACTCAGCCCCTGCTCTGCCCTGGGCCAGCACCACAGGTGGGATCTGCTAGTGTGTTCATGGTGCGGCTGCTTTTGTTTTGTAACCAGTCACTTCAGACCTGGTGCCTGGTGCCTGGTGCCTGGTGCCTGGTGCCTGGTGCCTGGTGCCTGGAGTGGTTTGTGAATTGCAAAGTAGTGCTTCCGTATGGGTGGAGCTGGGGTTTCTGTGCTTCAGGGTTGGCTCCTGGCTTGTCTACTGTGGTGAGTATGAGATGGTTTGTGATGATGGCATTGCCTGGGATAACTACTTCAGCCCCCTCCATAAGTAGGCTAACCAGGACTGTCCCCTGGCCCTGGTTAGTGAGGTTTCAGTGTTCCAAGCAAAAACTCTTAATTGTATAGAGACTGCTTTGCTGTAATCCTGTTAACCAGTGCAAATGATATGCTCAGGCCCATATTCCCTGTGGGGCCAACATGAACCATGGTCTGAAATGCTGTGGTAATATGGCCCTTCATGGGTAAAAATGGGAGCAGAATTGGCACGGCAGTCCATCCTGTCAGCCTAGCACTGCCGAGGCAGCAGGACAAAAAGCTTGAGGCCAGCCTGAGCTACACAGAAAGGCTGTCATACAAAATTAAGGGCTAGTGGGTCCAGAACTTGCCTAGCAAGCACAGCTCCTGGGTTTGACCATAGACAGGAAAGCAGGCCCACAGTGGCCAGCGTCCAGATGGATGGACCCCAGGCATGCACAGATCCACCCCCCTTCCCCTTGCTCCTGCCTCCTCTGACCATGTTTCTCCTGAGGTCCCCCCAAATTTTACCAAATGTTTCTCAAGCCCAAGGCCCAAAGGACTCTGCTGAGGTAGGAAGGACATCTAAGAGAATAGAATTTGGAGAATTTCAGTTTTATGTTCAAAGCAGCTTTTACCTTGTCCATGGGGCTTCTGAGTGGGTCAGCGCCTGGGCCTTGCTGAAGTGTCCTTATTGTGCTCTGGAAATGCCAGGACACTGGCCCTCATGGCCACTGGCTCAGAGATTTCCTGAGAAGGTCATTCTGCCAAGGGGCTGCTTACAGAACACCCTAGAAGCCCCCAGGTCCTCACTCAAGCTTTAGGTATGGCAGTGAGAGGAGCAGGTGTTAGCAGGATGGCGTGGTGGTGTTCTTACTAAGTGGTGGTGAATAACCAGGCAGTGGTGGCACACAGCTTTAGTTCCAGCACTCAGGAGACAGAAGCAAGTGAATCTCTGAGTCAAGGTCAGCCTGGTCTACAAAGTGAGTTCTGGACAACCAGGATTACAAAGAGAAACACCGTCTCAAAAATAAGTAAATAAAAAATAAAACAAAAAAACAAAGTGGCAGAGAATAGGGAGAAATAAAAAAGTAGCCCCAACTCTGCAGGCCCTAGACATTGTCCAGTAGCATTTTGTTCTCTTTCCTTCTTTCTCAGCAGGTAATATTTTGGTTTTGGGTTTTTTTTTTTTTTTTTTTTTTTTTTTTTTTTTTTTTGTTTTTTTTGAGACAGGGTCTCACTATGTAGTCTTGGTTGATTTGACTCAGAGGTCTACCCTTCAGTGCCTCCTGAGTGCATGGGTTAATGTTCCCAGATACATATGTATGTGTGTGTGTATATATGTATATATGCACATGTTTGGCAGCAAACACCCTTGCCTGTTGTGCCATTTCTTTGGTCCCAGACAGTATTTTTGAAGTAACATCATTCGCTGTAAATTCACACATGACAAAATACACCCTTACAGGTGTGCAGGTATGTGAGTTTTGACACGTCACTTATTTTAAACACCCAGCTAAGATGCAGAACAAAGGCCTGACTGCCCCTTACTGACTCGAGTTGCATGTTTGCCACTGCTTCTTCAAGGAGCGTTCGTTTCTGCTCTCTGCATTTAGGGAGTGCGGCTAACACTGCTTGGGACTGTGCCAGGTGAAGCAGACTCATGAGGGGCAGAGGGCACCAGCATATGGTCAAGTCCGGGACACAGCCGCACTGTTCACAGAGTGCAGTGGATCTGAGTCCACATTGGTCTTTGAGACCGGATGTGGTACAGATGGCCTTAAACTCTCAGTGATCCTTCGGCTCCAGCCTTCAAAGTACTGGGATTTAATGGCTTGTGCTACTGTACTGGTTCCAGGATAGGAATCTAACCTTTTTGTCCCCTATCACTTGTGTCCATTTTTTTTTTTCTCATAAAATTGGCTCTGTTGGCTGTTTGTCCTCAATTAAAGTCCTTAGGTATGCAGTTCTGAAGCATTCATCACTGTCCCTTAGCTCTGTAGCCATCATGGCCCTCCACTGTCAGAGCTTTGCCAACTTCCTGCCACAGCCTCCCAAGTGCTGGAGTGATAAGCTTTGGGTCAAGGCTGTCTAAATTGAAGAGCTGGAAGGGCTCTGAAGAACAGAGCTTGAGCCCTAGTGATGGCTCATCTGCAATGGCAGCTCTTGGGAAGTAGAGACACACCAGGAATTGAAAGCCAGCCACCATTACATGAAACCCTGTTCCCCCCAAAACAAACAAACAAACCAAGGCTGGGGAGTGGGTTGAGGTTCTGGGTTACCTGGGAGCATTTGATAGGAGGAGGGCATCTGCTGGGTGCTCTGAACTCCAGCAACAAAGCCCTGTGTGTGCAGCTCCTGTCCCCTGAGGACTACCAGCGCTTCCTGGACCTGGGTGTGTCGATCGCAGAGAACCGCAGCACCTTGAGCTACCACTGCAAGACCCCCGACTGCAGGGGCTGGTGCTTCTTTGAGGATGATGTCAACGAGTTCACCTGTCCTGTGTGCTCCCGGGTCAACTGTCTGCTCTGCAAGGTGGGATGAGGCCCATGTGGCCTCACTGCCTTTATCTATCTGGGGTTTGCTGTGACTGGCTATGACAACTGCAAGAGGCTTCAGCCCGTCACAGGGGAGAGCTGTTTTAGGGTTACAGTACAGTGCCCATCACTACCTAACCAAATAGGACTTATATTAGGTTCCTCCTGATGGCCCTGGCTTTACTTCCCTGAACCACGTCTTCTATAAAATGGCTTCTGTAAAATGGGTCAAGTTTCCTAAGTGAGGGCTTTAGCTGGTGACCTCTGAGGTACTCAGTGCCAGTGTGGGCCTCTTCTGCCCCTCACCTTAAGCAAAAAAGTCTAACTCAGAGCCCCTTGCCCTGCAGGCCATCCATGAGCGCATGAATTGCAGGGAGTATCAGGACGACTTGGCCCTTCGGGCTCAGAATGACGTGGCTGCCCGGCAGACAACGGAGATGCTGAGGGTAAGGCAGGGTCCTCAGCAAGAGCCTGGGGACTTATGGCTGCTTGGGACCCATGGTTTTGGAGGCTTACCCGGTCTCCCTTCTGGTTGCACCCCTCTTTTCAAGGGTGTCAGGTGTGGAGCTGTAGGAAGAGTCTGGGTTGGGGAGCCCTCAGACACAGAGTAGCAGCTAGCCATGCCAGGCTCTGAGGAGAGTACACTGCGGAGGGCAAGGCCTCAGGAGCTACACTGCCTTTTTCAGGTGATGCTGCAGCAGGGTGAGGCCATGCACTGCCCACAGTGCCGGATTGTGGTCCAGAAGAAGGATGGCTGTGACTGGATCCGCTGCACCGTCTGCCACACTGAGATCTGCTGGGTCACCAAGGGTCCACGCTGGGGCCCTGGGGTGAGTCTTCAGGGTACTGAAGAGTTGAGGGTGGTGTAGTTCCTGGAATGGCCTCAAAACTTCAGCCATCAACTGAGTCTAGCTACCATATACACCTTAAAGGGAAGGACTTATTTATTTCTGAGGCAGGGTTTTATTATATAACCATGGCTGACCTGGAAACTTACTATGTAGACTGAGCTGTCCTCTAGTTTAAGAGATCACCCTGCCTCTGCTTCCCAAGTGCTGGGATTAAAGGTGTGTGCTACCAAGTCTGGCCTAATTTTATGTTTTATTGTCTGTGCACCTGTATGTGGGGGAGTGGGAGTAGGGGAGGGATGGGGAGGGGGGGAAGGGAGGAGGAAGGAGGGGGAAGAGGGGTGAGAGAGAGAGAGAGAGAGAGAGAGAGAGAGAGAGAGAGCGAGCGCTGTGGTGTTCATATGTCAGAGGACAGCTTAGTGGAGTTGCCCCTCTTCCATCTTTTTGTGTGACAAGACCTTTCATTGCTGAGCCATCTCACCGGCTCAGGGGACCATTTTCTTTGTCAAGACAGTGTTTTTTTTTTTTTTTTTTCAAGACAGTGTTTCTCTTTGTAGCCCTGGGTGTCCTGGAATTCACTCTGTAGACCAGGCTGGCCTCCAACTCACAGAGATTGCCTGTCTCTGCCTCCTCAGTGTGGGGATTAAAGGCATGCGCCACCACTGCCTTTTTTTTCCAGCAGATTTTCTTTTATTCCTTAGACTGTTTCTCACTCTGTAGCCTGGGCTTGGAATTTGTGGCAATCCTCCTGTCTCAGCCTCCTGCGTGCTAAAGATTAGTATGTGTCACCTTGCTGGACTTGAGGGTTAAGAATTTTTTACATCTTAAAAGTGTCTTTTAAGTTATCAAAACGCCACAGTAAATATTTCTGGAGCCTGGCTATCCCAGGCTTTTGCCTCTTACCTCTAGCCATGCTCATGTGGAGGGCTCGCCAGGCCTCAGACCTGGCGTGTGCAGCAAGGCTTGCCCTGCATTCTGCTTTTAGGGAGAGCAAGTCAGGGTCAGTCTGGAGTTGGGAGGGGGATTGCAAATCCCTCCCTCTGGCATGTATTTGCCATCTCTCACTTCAGACTCTTCCTCCACAAAATGGAGACAGGGCCTATCTCTAGTATAAGAGAAGTGCTCAGTGGATGCCTATCCCAGGTTGAGTGCCCTGTATGTGGTGGCAGTCATTATTAGAAGTGGGTTGCTGGAATCAGAGCTGGCATCACTACTGGTGGACTTAGAGACAGGTGGTCCAGAGGGAACTGTACTATTTCCCTCTGTCCAGGTGCTGATCCACCTGCAGCCACAGTCCTTTCCCTCTCTAGCCTGGAGAGAAGACCATGGAGTTGAGGGTGCTGGAGGGGTTGAGATGGGCTTGGTTGAAAGGCTTCCATAGTTGCCTCCTTCAGGTTGCCAAGGCTGTTCTTTGCAGGAGGGCTTTTGGCAGCCAGTCTCTACCTTCAGATGGGCTCTGCCTTGGAGTGGTGATGTGACTTGGGGATAGCCTGTTTTTACCACACTGATACCCTCTTTTCTCTATCCTTTAGGGCCCAGGGGACACCAGTGGGGGCTGCCGCTGCCGGGTCAATGGGATTCCTTGCCATCCTAGCTGTCAGAACTGCCACTGAGTTGGAAGATGGTGGCCCTCAATATTGACCAAGACCCACATGTGTAGCAGCTAAACAGCAGGACTAGGCCAGGGGTTTTAACTCTGGTTTGGCCACTGTACCTTTAAGCTTGGCCAGGGAAAAGGCCCTGAGCTGTGCTGCCAGCTTGGTGTCTTACAGGAGCCCCAGCTGAGCCAGTGTCATGTTGCTCCACGGGGTTACTGACTAGCCCTTATGGCCCTGAGCTAGATACCCTACCCTTACTAGCCACCAGCCTCAATTAAACACAGCCCTGACCTAAGGCCTGGCTGGCTGGCTGGTGTTCTGAGCCGCCCTGAGTGACTGTTCCCCTCAGCATGCTCTCTGAGGACCCAGATCCTCACCCTTTGCCTTGCTGGCTTTCTGGGCACTTTCGCTGCTGTTGCTGTTGAGGACCTGGCATCTCTAAGCACTGTGGTGAACCCAATCCTGGTAGGTCAGCAAACATAGCCCATGGGGTCAGCTCTGTATCCCCCTTTGAATAAGTGAATTAAAGTTGTTTCCCAGGAAGGGAGGTGTGTTGTGCTTGGGGGAGCAAATGTCCTAGGTTGAATGCTATGCAGGCTGGATAGTGAGCTCTGGGGAGCTTGGAAAAGCACCTAGAGGGGATCTGTTGGCTCTGGCAGTTGGGGAAAATCAGACTAGCTCAGCTCTGACACCACCATGCCTAAATTCCTAGGACAAGCATTGCTAGGGCCAGTATTAGTGCAGACTGATGAAATTTACAGAGAAGGGCTTGAAGGCTGGAGGGATGGCTGCTGGGATGGGAGGCCACGGCAGCATCTAGAGACTGGAGGAAAGGCTTGGCACATCTGGGCACATCAGGTAAGGAGCAGAGCAGTTTCAGGAACTGCTGCAACTGATCAGGGAGGTGGTCCATTCTGCTTTAACAGTCAGGCAAGAGGTAAGGCCTTGCTGTTCTGGTACTTTCCCTCCACTCTGTGACCCATCCAGTCCCTTCTGAGGTGATGGTGCCACAGCAGCTGCAGTATGAAGGCCACACTTCCTGTATGACTGGTACTTAGAAAACATGTAGAGCATGTACTGCTCTTCCAAGAGTACCCAAGTTCAGTCTCCAGCACCTGTGTCAGGTGGCTTACAATTACTGTAACTCTGGCTGGTAACTTCCAACTTCTGAGGACACCTGCAATCATATGTACACATAATTGAAAACAAAATCTTTAAAAAAAAAAAATCGAAACACTTTTGCTAAAAATCCTTACTCATGCTCACAAAGGGATTAAAGGAAGAATGGAAGCCTGGAGTCTCAGCCTTGATTTTGGATCAGTCTCCTGCTTGCCTCTGCTTGGGCATGCTACTGAGTGTCTGCCCACCTAACCTAGCTCATACCGAGAGGCCCTTGTCATAAACATGTCCTAAGCAAAGCACTGAAGGCATGTCCCCTCCCAGATGAGAGCACTGTCCACAAACAGGAGGCTGCACCTTACAGAAGTCACCACTGAGGAGGTGGCACTGACCTTTCAGGTAGTAGTGGGACAGCTCAGCCTGCCCTGGACTTGAGTTAGTGCCAAGTCACACCCTCAACAGAACTGTGCATTACGTGACTTCTGTTCCCAATTCTTTCTCACATCAGTGCCCAGAGATGACTTGAGGTCACTGGACCTTTGTTCTGTGTGCTAATTAAACTGCTTCTCTTGTCTAAGTTGGGTATCAAGATAGGGAAGTGGCTTGCCTAGCCTTTGCTGGCTGCTAGAACCAGGACTTTCGCCCTTAACTGATTACATCTGTATGTGAAACAAAACTGGATAAGGCTGTGTGCTGCCAGTCAAGGCTGACAAGTCTAGTCTACAGGCCCCAGCTGGGCCCAGGGTAGAGTTTGGTGGGTACCTGAGACCAGGTCCATTTCCAGGCAGCAGTAGAGGTACAAGGACAAGTGATTAGGAACCACATAAGGGTGTTTATTTCATACAGGGCTCTGTACAAAACATCTACACATATCTTTACAGAGTTAAGTAAGTACCTGAAGGTAAATTGACAACGCTTCTTAGTAGCAGGGGAGTCCTGGTATGGGCACACACCACTCTTCAGCTCAGCACAAGCCAGTGCCACCTGCTTGTTTGGATGCAGAATTGTGGCTTGGACCCTGGGCCCATGCCCCTCCCCTCAGCCAGCACACTTCCTACAGCTCTTCAAGTATGCTTGCTAGAGGTACAGATGACAAGCTCCTGTGGGAGACTAAACAGTATTTGTCACCTTATCACTCTGGATCCTGGAAAATCCTCCTTTGTCCTGAACTAATCCCTGTGAATCACTCACTCTAGGCAGGGCTCCTGTGTGGAGAATGACTTAACCACTCCAGCTTGATTTGGTTAAAGTGCTTTGTGTGATTCAGCCTGGACACCTTCTATGTGCTCTGGCTTGTGGCTGCCCAGCACACAGAGTGTCCACGGCATGCGGCGGGCACAGGGACACACTGGGTCTGGACATGGTATGACTGGAGAAGAGTGCCCAGGAATGATCAGGAGATGGAGGCATGCAGATGCTTCCTACTATACACTCTTTAGAGCAGCAAAAGGCACTTTTGTTTTCAAGCCAGAGTCTCTTCAAAACAAACCTGGCCTTGCTTTTAACAAAGCCATCCTAGGAAGACCGAGTGATCCCATGGATCCCATGTGCCCTCCTGGAGGAGCCCAGGGGTAAGCGAGGCTGGTGGTATGGGATTCCTGCCAAAACCTGTCTACATGCTGGCAAGTTTCCAAGGACATTCCCAGCCTGAGACCAGCAGCTGAGGAGATCAATACACAGGCCAAGTGGGTGATGAGTGGGAAATCAGAAAGTGAGATGGGGGCGACACTGGGGCGTGGGGCTGTTCACAAAGCAACTTTGGCTAAACTGAGCAGGGAATATATCTCAGGTGCAACCCTGTCCTCCCAGATAATCGGGAGCTGAGGCAGGAGGATCAAAAGTTCAAGGCTAGCCTGGGTAACTTAAATAGACCCTGTCTCAAAAATAAAAACTACTAAAAAGTTTGGTACTACTCAGTGGTAGAACACTTGCCTCACATGTACAAGGCCCTGGGTTCTATTCCCCTCCAAAAAAGGAAACAAATGTCAGGCCAATATAAGCTCATCACTGATAGCTTCTCCATGAAGGAACTGTGTGAGTGAGGAGGCCGGAGAGATGGCTCAACAGTTGAGAGCACTTCCTGCTTGAGCTTTAGTAGAGGACCAGCACTCAGATACCAGCACCCACACCAGGCTCCATGAAATCTCAAGTCCACTTCTGGCCTCTGTGGACACCTGCATACATATATAAGTCATTTTTCTTAAGTGAGAATACTCGCTATGTTTGGTGTAGTATACAATCATAAAAATAGTATTAAAAATGTCTTTATAGGTAATGTCATGTGGCTTGTAGAGAAATAGGGAGACACAGGCAACACCGTTCAGGGGGGTTAACATTCCTCTGCAAGTGATCTCTAGGCTGGGATCATAAAATTTAACTAGAACCCAGCTCATGCCTGTCTCTAACCAACTGGCCCCCAAGCTACAGTCCTCTCCCCTCGCTTTCATCCCAAGGCTAGACTTTGTTGGCAGCTCCTGCCTGCTTTGTCTAGGAGATGCAGGACACGTGGTGCGGTAAGGAGGGCATCTTCGGGCCCAACTTTCTTCTAGGCAGTGAATTGGGTAGCCAGGGGCACCACAGCCACTTGCAGCAGTTGAGGAGCACAGAGCACTCAGGTCCACTAAACCCAGTGTCAGGCAGTGTTGCCATTAGCCACAAAGCCAAAAGACAAGCTGCCAAGGGTGGCAGAACAGAACACCCCTGACAGGAACCCTTTAATGACAGCAATCCCACCCTCTAGTGCCTTTCTGGGAATGGGGAGAGCTTGGTGCACTGGGTACGGAAGTGGCTCCTGGGGCTGAGTTCAGGGGAACAGCTGCAGCTGGAACTTAGGGGCCCACTCCAGGGCACTCTTCACCACTGCTAGTGCTGCTGCTCCAAGTGCCACCGTTAGCCCCATCACTGCCAGTTTCACAAAGCGGTTGGTCCTTGGTTTGGTCAGGACATCTTTTGTTCGAGTCTCAGGCCGCAGAAGTCCCCGAAACCGCTGCCGCAGCACCATATCTGGCCTCTGCTGGGCTGATGCCAGCTCAAAGTCTTTGAAAGTAGAGGCTGCCGTTCTGTGGATGAGAGCAGAAGGTGGCACAGAGGGGCACAAGACACTGAGAGGGCTGCCACAGAGCAGGCTACTGCTCAGCAGGCTCTTCTAGACAAAGACCTGTCTGGCCTGTAGCACAGAACCTGCTACAGTGTACCTCTGTAAACACCTGGCTCCCAAACCCACCCTCTGCTGGCTTCCATTGCCCTGGCTGTAGCAGCACCTTGTCCACCTCACCTTTCAGCCTCTTGCTGTGCAGCTGCCTCCCTTGCAAGTTCAGAAGGGGGGAACTGAACAAAGAGGTCTCCTGCTCTGCTGATGAGCGTCTCATAGGGCAGGTCCTGAGGGATCTGAGACAACAGGTGGTGGACAGAGGCCATGTCACAGTCACAGTCCAGGACTTCCTGCTCCCGGTACAGCACAATCTGGCAAAGGCAGGCTTTGAATCAGACACCAGAAGCACAGGACCTGGTCACTTGCCTTTCTTTACACACAGACCTAAGTCTTAGTAACAGACAGGGCTCAGCCCAAAGGTCTGACAAATGCTATATCCCACTCTACCTATAATGTGAAAGACGCCAATTCTAGCAAGTCCTCTTCTAGAACACCTGTCTGCTCAAGTGTCACCCTAAGCCTTGAGACAAACTGACATCTCTGAGAAAGAAGAAAAGGGCTACAGGAGACTCTGAGGAGCCTCAGAACAGCCTGACAGCCATCTTGCTTCCTTTAGGTGGCCTCCTGACAAGAGTGCTCATGTTCACGGCACTCCACTCAGCCTGACCCTTCCACAAGCCACTCCTTTTTGAAACCTAATACCATGCTTCTCCCTTTCGGAAGCCTGGCACCGGCAGGCAGACTTAACTGTCACCTGTGCCCACTATGATGTCCGTTAGCTAAAAAGTTCCAAGAGGTGTCAGCAGGGTCACTGACAGTCACATGGCATTCTGGTACTTTGAAGGGTCAGGAGTTGTAAAGTGAGAACAGTTGCTTAATCAACATTTCCTAACACTTCTCAGACTAGGGAGTGGGTCACCGGCTGGGGAGCTACTGTCCCCTTCAAGAACACTGATCAAGCTGGATGGTTAACAGTGAACCTAGTCACTGCCTCCCAGTGTGTACCTACCACAGCTGCAAAGTAAATGGGCATGAGTGGGTGGCAGGCCAGGAAGAAGTCGTATAACCGCACAACGTGCCTGAAGTCTGACAGGACGTGCCCAAACCAGGTGATAAGCCAGCTGAGGGCAAAGATGGTCCCCACCTCAGCACTAGGAGCAAAGGAAATCCAGATGTTAGGAGCCCTGTCAGCTCATCCTTCCTTTCTCTTCTCAAGAACTGATGAGGAAGATGTATATGGAAAATACACTTCTTGAAAAATTATGCCACCTAG